TTGTTCTCGCTTTTCCTTTATAAAAATTTTGTTTGCTGGCATATCTTGTATTATATCTATGAACATTGCTGGCGTATTCAAACATGTGATTAAATATGTTTGGTAAAGCCCCACAATGCCATAGATGTGTAAATTGGAAAATATGCAGTCGATATATATTATCAACATTTAAGATATTTAGAATATTTAGCAAAGGTTTTGCACTTTCTGTTTCTTTTCCATAGGAATTAGCAAAGAAAATCAATCTGATAACATGATTTTGTTTAGTCTGGATTTTTTTAAGATGCGTTTTATAGGTGCTACCCCATGCTATTATTGCGTATGAGAGGTAGGGATAAATCAAATTGTAGTATAATTGCCTTAGCTGTTTTAAGGATAGATAGTGCCTTAGCTTGGAAATTATACCAGTGTTACGAGATAACCTAGAGCATATAAATGCTATATGACATTTCCAATTCAGGGCATCATCTATCATAACACCTAAGTATTTAATTTGACTTTTCCTTTCCAATGGGTGCGAAGAGTTGCCGTTTTTGATTTTGATATTGATAACAGAATCCCTTTTTTGAGGAGATTTAACTATCATGAAATTAGTTTTAGTCATATTTATGGATAATTTATTTGTGTCACACCAGTCCTTAACCTTTACTAGCTCAGTGTTCATGATATTTTCTAGAGTTTTAAGATTTTTCTCAGAAGCAAAAACATTTGTATCGTCCGCAAATATTTTGAAATTCAACTTTTTAGAACAGTTTGGTAGATCATTGATATAGATGAGAAACAACAGGGGTCCTAAAGTACTTCCCTGGGGAATACCGCAGGTAATTGTTTCTTTGTCGGATTCGATACCGTCTATTGTTACGTATTGTTTTCTGTTTGAGAGATAGCTATGGAACCAAGTTAGGGGTAGGCCCCGAATTCCATAAGCTTGCAGTTTGTCAATAAGAATTTGATGATTTACGGTGATAAACAACACTGCAAATATATTGAAATATTGTGCCGCACATTGATTAAAGCATTTATAAATCATTTATTTGATTAATTTCATCAATTTGACCACCACATATAAAAAAAGCTGTTATTGTCCAATCATCCTAATCCAATTCCAGTCACGTGGTCAAGTTAGACGATCTATATATAATTAGAGGTAAAATTGCCTCTATACTAAATCGACGCATCCCCTCCGTAAAATCTCGTCTCGCTGAATGTATTTTTAAAAACAACAAACGATCTGATCACGCCAATGGCCGTATTCACACTGAATACGAGTTTTCCTTCTGACATGAGTTAGCGACGTGTAAAGCGCCTGACTAGGAGACTTGGCTGAGCATCTAAAGGTAGACATCACTGCTTACACGAACAAAGGACGTCGAGTTTTGGCCAAGAAACTGCGCGAGGAACTAGATAAACTTGTGGAGGAACATGAGGACAATCGGATGATGAGTACGAGAAAGCAAAGAAAGAGTATGAAGAGCTTCAAAAGAAATTCAAACAAATGGTCAAGGATCAGAATAAATTATTGGACGAGGCTCAAAAGAAGGTACAAGAGCAAAACTCAAGGTAACGAAGTGAATGGAGCACCGAACGACGTCCAAATTGTGAGTAAAACCAATAGTTATAATGTAGCTAGCTCACTCCTGAGACCTGAGTTCAAAATAGCGAGCACGATTAGCGTTGAATCAACAAAAGACAGACTGTCATTTGTCGGATTAATTTGGCAAAAGAAAGTGGCCTTTTGAAAGGCTATGACGAACGTGAAATGATTGATGCAATTGTGCGCGCGGTTAGCTCAGGATCACAGTTGAAAGCCTATCTTGAAATGACAACAGAGATAACTTTACCTAAGCTAAGGCAAATTTTGAGAGCCCATTATTATGAGAAATCCGGCTCTGATTTATACCAGGAGCTGACTACTTTGGTCCAAGGGCAAAAGGAAACCTCATCGGATTTTCTTCTACGCGCCATGTCCTTACGGGAAAGGGTAATTTTTACGTCCCAAGGAGAAACCGGCATTAAGTATGAAGCTGCCCTAGTTAAATCCTTGTTCAAACATGCCGTTGAAACCGGATTGCGAAATGAAGTCGTTAGAAATAAGTTAAGACCGATGCTTCACACAGCCGAAATAACTTACGAACAACTCATGGAACATTTGAATAAAATCGTATCTGAAGATAGCGAGAGGCAACTTAAATTTGGTTCTCAAGCAAACACCCTCCGTGACCCAGGTACGCTACGTGACACCAACGCCGAGAACAAACAGTCCAAAAAGGTTTTTAATCTCCAAGCAACTTTAGAAGCATTTCAATCTGAATTAGCCGAACTAAAAACAAAAGTGAATGCCAGCCATCACTCGGGATCAGTACCGAATTCTAATTTAGCTAGTAACGGAACGAATGGAAGACGTAAAAGACGCATGTGCACAAGAGAGTGATGCCAACCGCTGTAATCACTACTTTAACGGATCCAATGACCATTTCGCTAGAGGATGTAAATCGTCGGGAAACGCGAACGCACTGCAACCGCGGGACAGGAAGTAGTGAATTTTGTTAAGTCCCAGTGTTATTATTGTAAAAACACTGAAAACTTAAAGCGATGTTCTAAATGCAAAGCAATCATTTTATTGTTCAGAAGAATGTCAATCGTTACATAGAGACTCCCACAAGAAACTATGCGACGCGATTGTATACTTAGAAACAACTCATCAAACAGAATATTTTCACGAGGGTGTTTACGTAGCTCACTTAACTCCAAAAGAGCGTGATACACTCTGTCATTTAGTTGGCCGGAAGTGCACAGTGCGATGTTTGCTCAATGGAATAGAAACGGAAGCGCTATGGGACACTGGTGCGCAAGTTTCTGTGATTTCGGCCGATTTCCATTTCAAGATATTTGTCTAGCGTTTAGATACGGCCAATAACTGAGTTACTGGGAGACGCGAACATTGAAGTTAAAGCAGCAAACGGTATTGAGATTCCATACGCAGGCTATGTTGAAATTACATTAGAGCTGAGTAATAATGATAAGCAAATTTCCGTCCCGTTTCTTGTGTCAACTTGTGCCAAATGATCGACATGCCAATCATCGGATATAACGTTAAAGAGCAATTCGTGAATGGATTCGGAACAGACAAAGACCACAATCTAATAGAGTCATTATCAACAACCTTTGCCAAAAGCGTCGATGTTTCTAATATCCCTAAACTTGTAAACTTTATTACATCGACAAGACACCACCAATTATGTGATTTGCGTACAAAGCAGAACAAAGCAGGATGTGGTCATTCCAAAGGGTAGTTCTAAAATGGTCACGTGTCGTGCGAAGACGTCGTACATTGATGCGAAAGTGCCCGTGTTATTCTTCGAGCCTGACCTCACTCAACCTTGGCCGTCCGGATTAAATGTATGCGAAACACTCGTTAATTTACAAACCGGAAATTCAAGTCGAATTGCAATCGAAGTTATCAATGACACTAATCACGACATCACTCTAAAGGGAAGAACGATTTTAGGACATTTAGATTTAATATCATCGGTAACACCTGTGGAGGTACAATTCAGACAGGAACCCCAAGTCAGTTCGGTTAAGTCTGCAAACATTTCGAATATTGATGTTAACTGTGAAACGCCAACAAGCCACCTGTATGACAGTAAAGAGTTACTCGGATCCCTAACTCAAATTGATCTTTGACCGTGGGAGAGAGGGAGGTGGCAGTGCGCATGCTCAATGACGAAGTGGAATCGTTTTCCAAGGACGATGACGATATCGGGTGTATCCCAGATCTGCAGATGAACATACCTCTATCCGATAATGAGCCAGTGCAAAAATCCTATAATTCGGTTCCGCGCCTTATATATGCAGAGGTGAAACAATAAATCGAGGACCTACTTAACCGTGGTTGGATTCGTCATTCTAGATCGTCGTACTCGTCAGCTGTTGCTTGTGTGCGAAAAAAAGGACGGTGCTTTGAGGCTCTGTGTGGACTTTCGCGCACTCAACAATAAAACATTTCCAGACCGACACTCCTTACCTAGAGTGAACAAAATTCTTGACAGTCTGGGAGGGAATAACTTTTTCAGTATGTTAGACCAGGGAAAGGCCTACCATCAGGGGTTCATCGCAGAGGACTCAAGGCATCTCACAGCATTCGTAACCCCCTGGGGTATATACGAATGGATTCGGGTTCTGAAAAATGCTCCCGGTGAGTTCCAGCGGTTTATGGAGGCGTGTCTCTCAGGTCTACGTGACGAAATCTGCATCCCGTATCTCGATGATGTCATTGTTTTCAGTGAGAGTTTCGAAGAACACGTTGAACACATCAGACAAGTATTCCAACGACTGCGACAGCATGGTGTCAAGCTGAAGCCCAGAAAATGTCGTCTTTTCAGGAAAGAAGTCAGCCGTCTCGGACGAATAATATCCGCGAACGGACATCACCCAGACCCCTCAAACGTTGATGCTGTCAAGTCGCTAAAGAACATACAGCCAAAGACGGTAGGTGGTGTACGGAAGCTGTTAGGTCTACTAGGTTACCACCGACAGTATATCCATGACTTTTCGGTATTAGCAAAACCCCTATACGAACTCTTAACGTCAAAGCAAAGCAACACAAAGGGTAACCTCCCGTCCTCTACACCTGTAATATAGACGGAGAAGCACACGATTACCTTGTATCAGCCCCGATCCTAGCTTATCCGGACTTCTCCAGACCGTTTATGCTTTATACTGACGCATCCAAGGATGGCCTGGGGGCCGCTCTTTACCAGGAACAAGAAGGTCAGATCAAAACAATCGGCTATGGGTCAAGAACACTCACTCCAGCAGAACGTAACTACCATTTACATTCGGGTAAATTGGAATTTCTCGCATTAAAGTGGTCTATTTGTGAACATTTTAGAGACTATCTATATTACGCCCCTCATTTTACAGTATTCACTGATAACAATCCACTAACTTATGTTCAGAGCACTGCAAAGCTAAATGCAACTGGTCATCGATGTGTTGCAGAATTAGCTGATTTCCATTTCGATATTAAGTATCTTCCAGGCAGAATGAATCAGGTTGCAGATACACTTTCCCGCATGCCACTGGATATCAATGAGTATAGTAAACATTGTACTTGTACAAAGTCGCAAGATGACATTAACGCTACGGTATTAGGTGTGAGAGCGCTCAACAAGGGGCAAACAACATGGATCTCTGTAATTTCAGATTCACAGGAAATCGTTAATCTTGATCAATCATTTTTAATGGACTGTCATGATGAGCGATTGAGTAAGACTGATCTACTTCAAGCCCAAAAGGAAGACGTGAATATAGCAAAGGTCTTGACATATAAGCAATTGAATCGTCGACCGTCTAGACGACAGGTGAGACGTGAGGATCCGCTGACCAGGTCTATATTACGTGAGTGGACCAAACAAACACGTGAGATTGACAAAGATGGTTTTCTACGGAGAAAAATGAAATCGTGTCTTCAGCTAGTACTACCCCTTAAATTGCGCAGCCTAGTTTACAGAGAGYTGCACCAAGAGATGGGCCACCTTGGCGCGGATAGAGTCTACCATCTCGCGCGAGAACGATTCTATTGGCCTAACATGGAACGTGACATTACTCACTTCGTCACTAAAGGCTGTCCTTGTCTTAAGCAACGACGCCCAAACATAATAACACGCGCACCTATGCAACATCTGTCGTCGACCGCACCGTTTGATCTCATATCGCTTGATTTTCTCCATCTTGAGAAAAGTTTTGGTGGATTTGAAAATATATTAGTGATCGTCGACCACTTCGCAAGATTTGCACAAGCATATCCCACTAGAAACAAATCAGGCACGACTGTAGCTGACAAGGTGTTCCATGATTTTATACCACGTTTTGGCTTTCCGACTCGCATACTGCATGATCAAGGCAAAGAATTTGAGAACCACTTGTTTAAACAACTCGAAAAGTTGAGCGGCATTCACCATACTCGTACTACACCCTACCATCCCCAAGGCAACGGCCAGGTTGAACGTTTTAACAAGACCTTGCTCGCGATGTTAAGGACCTTACCGGAAGAYAAGAAGASTCGGTGGAAGGACTTTGTGAATAAGGTAGTACATGCATACAACTGCACGYCAAATGRCAGCACTGGCTTCTCACCCTTTTACCTACTGTATGGTCGGTCACCAAGACTACCARTMGACCTGATACTGGGTACAGAATACAACAATGAACCACCGCGTCACTATAGGGATTATGTTACTAAATGGCAGACAGCAATGCAAGAAGCGTACAGCATCGCCCTAAAGAAGGCTTACCGTTACAACTCTAGAGGCACAAAACATTACCATCGACGTCTAAACTGCACAGCACACTTCGTCCAGGTGACAGAGTCCTCGTACGTAATTTGACTCCACGGGAAGGTCCCGGAAAGCCGTGTGCTTATTGGGAGGAGAAAGTGCACTTGATCGTAAACCGAAGAGGGGAAGGACCCGTGTACGATGTTAGACCCCAGGGAGCACAAGGCAGAATACGCACGTTGCATTGTAACATTCTTACGCGTGCAAACCATTTGTTACAACGCACTGAGGAAGGTCAGAGTTCTGACCGAAACGTCTGCGTTCTCATTAAAAACTTAAGCTAGTGAAAAATACTTTTGTTCAGTTTTTATTATTCATTATATTTACTCATGTTGATTAATGTCCTTTAGTTGTAGAATTGAAAGAAGAAAAAAGACAATTGAAAAAAAAAACACTATTGAGCATCACTATGCTGCGGGCATAACGAAACAAGCTTCAGAGAGCTTCAATGAATATTTAGTTAATTTGTAAAGGACTTTTAGCTTTAGGACTGCGTGGGCCTGATCACCCCAGCAARCCACAGAGGATCACAAAGTCAAAACAGAATACAGCTTATTTTTCTAATGTAGTCAGATATCACACTAAGTGCCTTCAAAGAAAGTGGGGGAGAGTGTGACAGTGTGTAACCGGACACTGGTTGATATGACGTCATGATGATGTAATTAGATATATAAGAGTAGTGACACGAGGTAAAAGAGAGATGGCACTTTGTATGACTAGCTACAATCTATTGCAAAATAAACGGAACACGTTTCCCCATTTCCCCACTCCAATGTTGAATACACGTTAACCGTATTTCCAGGACGATTTTCAACCGATTCAATCTTCAAATAAGCGCAAAACAACATTGGAAAGAGGGAGGGGAGGTYGTAGTAACACACTCGTGGGGGTGTTTCACGTTATTTTGCAATAGATTGTCTATAAGGGATTATAAAGTGATGTGTGTGTGACGTGCGGTTAGCGACACGTAGGTATAGGTTCAAATGACGTGCATTGTTAAACTAGAAATCACGAGAGGTGTGTAATGGAAAGAAACGTTTGTTTCCAGTAAAATCGAAACAGCGAGAGAGAACATAAATATAGAAATGCGCTTGTAGTAGAATAAAACTTAATTTACAACGCTGTAGATATACAACTGTCTTATAAAATAGAACCACTTATAATGGGYATTGACCCAGAAACTCGAGCAATGATTTATCATTTATCGAAAATACAAGGACTATCCGTACGCCAAGTCGCAAGGGAATGTAATGTTTCAATATCGACGGTTTCGAGGATAAAGAACGCAAAGTTTCAAAGCAAGCGACGTGACGATACGAGGAATAAAGAAACCAGAGGGCGCCCTAAGAAATTAACGCCTCGCGAGCAAAGAAATATCAAACGGGGAATACACATTCTACGAGAACAAGAAGGCGGATTTACTATAAAAAGACTAATGAATCAAGCAAACATCGACCAKAGAAAGATCTCCGTGAGTACAGTCTCACGATATCTCAACAAAGAAGGGTATTMCTGCCTTCAAGCCAGAAAGAAAGGACTTCTGACAAGAAAAGACATGAAAAAAAGAAGAATATTCGCCCGAAAAATGCGGAGAGATTTTGCAGAGGATGTGTGGACAAAAGAGATTGCCTTCTACCTAGATGGCACAGGCTTTGCCTATAAAAGGAATCCTTTGGACCAAGCGTTAGCACCCCGCGCACGAATTTGGCGCAAAAGAAGTGAAGGACTTGACTTCAGCTGTACCGCTAAAGGGCGAAAAACAGGGAGTGGCGGCAAAGTACTGAAACTAATGGTGGCTATAACGTACGACAAGGGAGTCATACTCTGCAAACCATACCAAAAGCTAAATGGAGGGTATTTTGCACAGTTTATTGATGACAATTTTGAAGAAATGTTTGTAGAGGCTGATAAAGGATCAAAACGAATGTGGATTCAGGATGGGGATCCAAGTCAAAACTCTGCAGCAGCAAATGCCGCAATGAACCGCGTCAACAGCGTACTTATCAAGATACCTCCAAGAAGTCCCGACTTAAATCCAATAGAGAACATATTTAAGCTGGTATCTGATAAGCTACGAAAACAAGCAATAGAGTTTCAAATTCAGAGAGAAACATATGATCAGTTTGAAGATCGTGTCATCACAGCTTTAAAGTCTTTGCCGATTATAACGATAAATAATATTATAGCGTCTATGTCTAAGCGGATCAAACAAATAATCGCTAGAAAGGGACAACGTTTACGCTACTGATAATGTTTATTTTCTTGAATTGGTTAATCAACAAAAGTACCTATCACAATTATTAAGCTCATAACAATAAAGTCCATAATTGAAATATCTGATTTTATTACTTGTCGTGTATAGTTTAAAAAACAATATTTGTAATATGTCTGCTCTAAAACAACAACAGTGTTCATTCTTTGACATACACGTTTATCTTCAGCTTTAGAAAATGTGCTGTTTACTTTTGAAGTCGTTCGCTACAGAAATGAAACAAACTCAACAACGCCACATGGGATCCCTTTGCTAAATATTGATTGTGTGTAATCACATGTCACCGGCACGGATCACCGTCATTTTATTTCAAATGTAGTGTTCGATTACCGATTTTTTGTCTTCAAAAACCATGAAAATAGTTGTATTATATTATTTCCCACAAACACATGTCATTAGTATATCGCGCTTTGCTAAATGCGAATGTTTATTTGAGAGTGTACAGGGGTGATCCGTTGTAGAGAAAGAAGATCATGGCTGTGGTTTTTATAGTGTCGTGTTCACCAACGGTGACCCGTTGTATAATTAAGGAAATAAAGACGTTTCTACAGAGAAATGCCTTTCTTGGGGTAGGAGACATGTTTTTAAGAGTGTAAAAAACGTCCCTTTCATAATTCGGTGGATAGTTATCGACGCATTTACGATATTATTTGTGGTGACCCGTTGTAGACACAAACACGTGTACATGTACATCTGACATATTTGTTGATACCGCAACGGATTTCCTATTTTTATGCGTTTCTGGAGTTGCTTTTTTGGATGTATTTTCTCAATGCAAAATGAACTCTGCAAAACAGCGTGGACATGGGGTTGTAGTGACTTGCTCCTCCTCGGGTATCTGATAGAAGAACTTGAAAGATCTCCACCTCACTGTCATCATGTCGGTTTCCACACGATCAAGCACTCCACCTCGGACATAGGACAACTCTTCATTGGCTGTACAAAAGATTGGGGCATCAGAATCAAAGACGATGTCTTTTGCATAGTGTGTTTTCGGTGCAGGAAAACGCACTAGCTGTCCTTCTAATAATAACAGTAGGTTATGCCACGGTATTATCTGTGGCGACCAGCGAAAGTCATTGAGGAATATTACTTCGCTGTTCTCCACTCCTACCCATGCAAAGGTGGCTGTTGCGGGGTTATTAAAGGTGTCGTATATAAGAGTAAGAGGACTTAATATGAATGTCTTCCCACA